TTACAACTTCAGTGTTGTTTTTTTTTTTTTTGTTAGGGCTGTAGATGTTTGAATCAAACAGTGTCATTGTTACTGTTATTTTTGGGCAAAGAGAGTTTGTAATATTATAATAAAGTTTATATTAAGTGTAGTAAATTAAGTTATGAGTTACCACTTAGTCATAAAAGGATGAGTTTCTCTGGGTTTCTTATTACCTCTTTATTCATCTCTGTGTCTTGAGGTGGAACCTTTTCTTTGAATAAACTTTTATATTAGCTTCTATTTTGGTAGTAAATTTCAGAAATCATAATAGCATTGTTACATATTTATATTCCTATATATGAATACATAAATATATGTACATGAGCCCAAGTATAGGTCTGAATGTAGCCACCAGCTTATGCATCATATTTGGCATAAAGCCATTTGAAGGTGTAGTAATGATACTCTGCCATTAACAGTGTTCATATTATTCTCTTCTTGGTGATGGGTGATTTCATATAATTAGACTTCATTGTAAAGTCTATGTAAATAAATTTTTTGTATTCACTTACCTGCCTGAAGGCAAATGCTCTCTGTCCTTAATATATCAAGTGGCAAGTATGGTCCCATATATTGGGCTAAAAATATTTGTAGCTGAAATTCTATTGGCTTCATTGTATGAGATCTGAAATTTTGCTATGGCTTTAATAAGTTTCTGTGATAAGTTTTTGGAATACTGCTGTATTGAAAATCCTCATTTCTTAATTTCTTATGTGCCATGTAATGTAGAAACAACTGGTAAAAACTAATCAGGATTCTTAATACCATAACAGTACTTGTTTCATGCCTGATTTGTAAAATGGTAAATATCAGTAAGATACAGACTCATTTAGGTACTGTTTATCTTTCCACAGTTGCTTTGTCATCTATTGGGAAACCTCACAGGTCTAGGCCAGCTGATGAGCTAGATGTGAGAGTAGCACAGGAGTTGATGTTGCCAAGTGCACAAAAGATAACTTGCTGCATCTTTATAGGGTTATCCTTTTAGCAGACTAACATTTAATTTTTGTTATATCTGGACAGCACTTTAAAAATGACCCCTGTATACTTGGCACTTACAGACCAAACTAAAATTATTTTTGGCAAAATATTTTGCTAGTTGGTATCATTCTGACTGGGCCAGTACTTATAAATTTGAATTAAGCAGACTCTTGTTAACTCTGAGTGAATAGGTAACCTAGTGCTGCTTAAATAGAGATTGCCTGATGTTTCTAGTTATAAGAAATATCTTGTGAAGTGAGCAAGTTGATAAGCTTCTGGACAGGCAACTTCCATTAATTAACTTGGTTGACAAGTGCAGGCAACATGTAGTCTGTAGATAAGGCATACAGATCATGATTGTTTTGGCAGTTTTTTCTTTTTTTAAAACCTATTTTTCTCTGAGTAATACATGTTGTTGAAAAAGGTAAATAGTACTACAGTACTTGAAACCAAACCACCAGTGTTCTTGGTCTCATTCCCAAGTAAGCCACTTCAATCCTCTTAACTATTTATTTATCAATTTAAAGTATTATCTATTGATGTTCTGTTATGGTAGGTGAAGATTTAAGCTCTTACACGATTTTTCCCTTGTGTCTATTCTCCTAACACAGTTATACTATCCTATGTAAGTATCATTTATTGCTGAGCTGAGTAGTATACCGTGGTTACATTTCCTTTCTTTGTATTTGTTTTTCCTGGCATTAATTGTCTGATTTTTTTTTTTTTTTAACCTGCTTGGCTTTTTTTCTGATTCCTGGCTGCTTTTCCTTCTCTTTTACAGCTCTTTTAAGTTATTTTTATCTGATTTTCTACTTGCTTAAACTTCTCAGATAATTTATCACTTTCATATTTTTTCCTTTGGAGACCTCTTCTCTACATTTTCTGACCTCTAGCACCAGTCAGAATTGTTTGTCCTGTGTTCTTGCTGTATCGCTGTAGTCTTAGAACTTCCCTTAACTGGAAATTTCTCCTGTCTTATCTTGTCATCATCCTTGTGATGTAAGCGCTTTGGTGTTTTTATTTCAAATGCTACTTGTTTATCAGCAGTTGTGGTTTTCATGACCCATAGTAAAGATTGTAACAGTATCCTGCCATTCCATATTAAAAACACTGCTTGTGGATGTAAATTTTGCAATGCCAATAGATGTAATTTTAGTGATTAGGCTTGATTTAGAAGTCCTGCAAATGCTTTAGTAGTTGTGAAACGAAATCGTAACGAAGAAATCCTTAAAAATAAACAAGAAGATTCAGCTGGGTCTAGCTCTGTGTCATGCTTGTGGCTAAACCACACAGAGAGGAAATACTTTAATACACTTGGAAATATGACAGAATGGTTAATTATTTCTGTTGGGCTGTATCTAAAGGACAAAAAGGAGTATAAAGAAATCATCAACTGCTTTCGTAATCATACAGGATTGATCTTGAAACTATGCATATTTGTGTATGGATACAGTACATAATTATGTTAATATTAGGAACCTAGATCTTTTAGCTTCCGAAAGAATAGAAATATAAAATCAAAGAGGTTATATAAATTTGCATTGGCGATATCATTAGGGATTCATTATGTGTTTTATTTTTAAAACACATGCACACAAACCAGCTTTGTCCTAGAAAGGCTTAGAAGTAGTGAAGTACCTTGTATCAGTGAGCACCTCTAGCACCCTGAGATTGTGGTCATTAGAGAATTTTTCTCTTAAAGGAACAAGGTTTCTTGGAAAAAACACCTGATTCTTGATTAAAGGTAGGGAATATTCAAGGCAAATGTGTAATATTTTTTCATAACATAGAGCAAGGAAGTTTAAGACCATTGAAAATTGTGTTGAAAAGAATTAGGAGATAGCTTGAACAGGTTCCCATTAGCCAAAAGTGGGATATTTTGAGTATTAGAAAGGGCACTTTGAGGACTTCTGCTTCCATCCAAAGTGGAATAGCAGGGCCCAGATTTACCCTCCTACCTGAAGCAAACTCAAGAATAACCAGACAAAATACATGAAACACTAATTCAAGACACCAGACATTAGCCAGTGAAGGACAGTGATCTCTAGAGATGGGAAACATGAGTTGAGCCCTATCATTGCTTCAGCTTACTGCCCAACAGAGTTTCCAGGTTGCAACACAGGGAGAGGGAACTAAGGGCCAAAGCTTTCCTGAATTGAGGAGACAGAGCTGAGAGTCTGGAGAGACAA